AATGATGGGCTATACAAGAGGGGATAGCCCTCTCCTTTCCCTAAATCCCTCCCCACCCAACTCAAGGTTTGAACTTGAGATCTCCAACTTAGAATCTGAAGCTCTTAACCATTGAGCCACCCCCTTGGGGATTCTTATCTCTAAAATAATATCCTAAAGGATAAATTGCTAATTAGTTGACCCAGTCCATTGCTGTCCATGCTAGTGGAAACTAAGGCAGCAACAGCAAGTGACTAAATCTCATCTTCTCCCCTTCTATATCTAAAAATTTCAATCTAAACAAACAATAAGCTTGTTTTGATTTAATGGTCTCTCTCTAGCTCTCTTCCTAATGTGATTAGATTACTATACTTTTTTGAGTCCTAACAGATATTACACTTTGAAATTTATGTTTGAAGTTGATTTCTAATGAATTGCAAATCTTTTTAAGTTTAGATTATAGCAAGTAATGATTTTTTAGTAAAAGGCAAAACAATGGTTTGCTCTAAGCTCACTGCACAGCTCCGTATTATAACAAGTAATGATTCCTTTATCTTACTAATACATCTTAGGAAAAATCATTTGTCTCTCTGGTCCACCTGGAGTGGGTAAAACTAGCATTGGCCGTTCTATTGCACGAGCTTTGAACCGTAAGTTCTTCCGGTTTTCTGTTGGTGGATTATCAGATGTTGCAGAAATCAAGGTACTTTTAGAACTCCTAATTTTTGGATCAAGATCAATGTTGCTGTACGTGATGGCCATTTTGTAATTCTTATCCCTGATTTATATATAGGGGCATCGTCGAACCTACATTGGTGCTATGCCAGGAAAGATGGTGCAGTGCTTGAAAAATGTGGGCACAGCTAATCCACTAGTTCTGATTGATGAGATTGACAAGGTATTTTCTCCCTTGCTATATATTTTTTTCAATTGTAGTATTTGTTTTGTTTCCCTTCTGTATTCTCAACTCTTGGGTGATTGCTTTTTGATTATTTCTTCTCAGCACATTGGTGGGTGTTACTGCTTAATTTTTGCTTAAGATCACTACCTAGCAATTCTCTTTTTGGTTTTCAATAATGCTTGAGAAACTCTAATTTATCAAGTATATTGTGTTTATGGCAGTTGGGAAGGGGACATGCTGGTGATCCAGCCAGTGCATTGTTAGAGCTACTTGATCCTGAGCAAAATGCTAATTTTTTGGACCACTATCTTGATGTTCCAATTGACCTCTCAAAGGTATGTCTGATTTGAAGGAATTGGGTTCTTTTCCCGCTTGTTTTGCCTTTCTATCATATATAAGCAATTTCTGGATTATCATAACCAGTAATGATTAATCTAGAAATTAGTAAACCTATGATGTACAGTTTGGTATACTTTGCATAGGCATTGAGAGGGGCATGATATCCATACAACCAAGGAGCTTATCATAAACACAGGACAGATTTCTATTTTTTTTCTTTCATGCATGCATTCAAGAGCTTACTACTTACTAGCTGCTGGAATTTTGGTGCCTAGCCTGTCATGGAGAATTCAATAATAGATTATCTTGAGTGTGGTCTATTTTTTCTTTGCAATGATATAGGTGGCAGCATTTGGTATGGTTCAGATATTTTGGCTTGATTTTTGACTCCTCATAGACCTGACCTTTAAAATTTTTTTTCAGGTTCTGTTTGTTTGCACGGCCAATGTAGTGGAAAATATACCAAATCCTCTTTTGGACAGAATGGAGGTTATTGCTATTGCTGGGTATATAACTGATGAGAAAATGCATATTGCAAGAGACTATCTGGAAAAAACTTCACGTGAAGCATGTGGCATCAAGCTGGAACAGGTCTTTGTCCCTGCTGCAACCCAGAAGAAAATAAACTATGTCTTTCAATAACTCACTGACATGCTGATGCCTCCTATGTTCTCTAACTAAACTTCAAATTGATCTTTTCCAGGTTGAGGTAACTGATGCTGCTCTTCTTGCCCTAATAGAAAATTACTGTCGAGAAGCAGGTGTTCGTAATCTTCAGAAGCACATAGAAAAAATTTATCGCAAGGTATGTCCAATTATTTATTTAAAGATGACATATATACTTAAATATTGTAATAAAAGGGATGACAATTTTCTGCTTGACAATGATAACGAATCAGAGTAAATTATTTTCTGCAATTTGGATTTGGGATTGAAATTTTCTCATGCATGGCAGATTGCTCTCAAACTGGTGCGACAAGGAGCATCAAGTGAACCTGCAGTTGCTGGAGAGGATGTCCAACCTGCTGAAGTAATTGCAGAAGTTGTTGATGATGGTCAACAGGTTGGAAATGAGACCAGTGTAGTTGTAGAATCAGTAGGTAGCAGCAGTGATGAACAGACTGCTGAAACCCATGTTCAAACTGATACAGTTCTGACTGATGACCAGCCGAAGGACATAAAGGTACCATAATAATTTCGTTTTGAAGTTTGTTTTTCAGAGAAAACTTTAGTTCTAGAAACTCAAAAGACGTGTAAGCTTAGACATATCTGTTAATATTCATTATTGCATTAGCAAATGGGAAACTAAATTGTTTGTTGTTATTGCTGTAAGAAATTGCAAAACTGATAGCACCTTTTGGTTTGTTTTAAGCATGGTAATGTTTGGCCTTTGTTACGAGTTAAAGAGCTTGAGCCTTCATGATGGAGTCTCATGTTCTTTGGGACTTGGGATGGGTGGGGCAGGGTTTGGGAAATGAGAGGGTATCCCCTGTTGTTTAGTTCATCATTGATGTATGAAAACAATACTTGGCCTTCATTTTCTTTTACATTGTTTCTTACCCTCTGACATGCTACTTAGTTCAAAATCCTGCAATACAACTTCTTTCTTAAGGGAGATGGTCATACACTAAACAACTTTTGATTTTTTGACAAGAAGCTAATGATACTCAAAATGTTCAGGAAAGCGAAGCAACCAAGACAATGGAGAAGGTGCTGGTAGATTCATCAAACCTAACTGATTTTGTTGGGAAACCAGTTTTTCATGCAGAGCGCATTTATGATAATACTCCAGTTGGAGTTGTGATGGGTCTTGCTTGGACTGCCATGGGCGGATCCACCTTGTACATTGAAACGACTCTAGTTGAGCAAGGAGAAGGAAAAGGGGCTCTTCATCTTACTGGTCAACTTGGAGATGTCATGAAAGAAAGTGCACAGATTGCTCATACAGTTTCAAGGGGAATCCTGCTTGAGAAAGATCCAGGGAGTCCCTTCTTTGCCAATTCAAAGCTTCATCTCCATGTTCCTGCAGGAGCAACCCCAAAAGATGGGCCAAGTGCTGGCTGCACCATGATCACCTCTATGCTATCACTTGCAATGAAAAAGCCAGTCAGAAAGGACTTGGCAATGACTGGGGAGGTGACTCTTACAGCAAGAATTCTCCCAATTGGCGGGGTAAGTTAAAACACAACCATGAACCTCGATGTTTATCTCAATAACTTGCATGAAGTTCAGCATGAACAACAATCTTATCCATTGTCACCTCCCCTCTGACCACCGTTTTATCATGTCCCAAGGCATTTGTTCATCCTTTTCCCTTTCTCTAATATTCAGTAGTATTTTTCAGTCATTATTCTAAAAAAATAAAAAACTTTTCAGGTTAAAGAGAAGACTATTGCGGCGAGGAGGAGTGGTGTGAAGACGGTCATATTTCCGGGAGCTAATAAGAGGGATTTTGATGAACTTGCAGACAACGTCAAAGAAGGCTTGGATGTTCACTTTGTAGACGATTATAGTGAGATATTCAAGTTGGCCTTTGATTTTGACAATGATACAAGAAATTAGGTCCTTTGGCTACGGCTGCCCAACCCCAACCATGGTTTTCTGGGTCATGATGTGACCTTAAATTTTTTTCTTTCATTGTTGGGATGTACAAGTTGAGCTCAAATATTTTTGTGCGTGGTTATTTTAGATGACATAAAACCCATACAAGAGAAGTGTATTAAGAAAAAAAAATTTTAAAATAAAATAAAATGAGGTTCAGGAAAATTATTTTCTGAGACGATATAGTTCAGTTCTTCTATTTTATTTTATTTTATTTTATTTCATCTAATTGTTACTTTATGAGCATGATTTTTTTTTTTTCTTTAAAATTTTGGCTTAACACCTGTGAAAATTGAAATACAGTGAGCCGAACAGCTTATAAAAATATTTTTTTAAAAATAATTTTGTCGAAATCGCAATCGCCTTTAGAAACGCCTCCAAGGGAGAAAAGAAATTTACAGAAATTTATCCCCGACGTGGGGTGTACCAAATTGAGTGAAGAAGAGAGATGAGGGGGAAACGGGGGTAAGTTTGTTTATTTTTTCTTTTTTTTTTTTCTTTTTTTTGTTGACAATGAAAAAAATAATTAAAAATTAATATCTATTCAGTAAGCGGGAAGATTCGAACATAGGTAATCTCCACCTGCTTTTCGTGAAGAAGCACGGCCCAATCAGTGGACCGCATGGAGGAGTTTTCTTTTATTTAAGCCTTTAATTGGGTTTCTTTCAAATTTTATGAAGGATATTTTTTAAAAAATAACTAAGGGGAAATAGAGACAACTGAGCTTCAATGCATTTTTGCTCAATGTTTCTCCATTTTGATTTCCATGTCACTTTAGTGTGGATTGGATTTGGCTATGCATATTTGATGTTAACTAACGTACCTCATTTCAATTAAATTATTATAAGATGAATGCTGCATGATATTATAAATTTAAAATTATAATTATGATATGTATGATTAACTATATTCATTTATAAATCTATTCTTAATATTATATATTATTACTCATTTAATGGCATGTTATTATTATAAATTTATAATTGTAATATTGTAATTATATCATTGTTATAAAGAAAACATTGTTGTTGAATCATTACTAAAGAAGGAAACATGTCTTTATTAGTGTGTGTGAATACTGAATAGTAAAATCCATGTAAAAAAATTTTAACCTAGTACTTTTTCATCCAAGTTGTCCTTATTCAACAATTTGAAAAGTTTATGTCCTTAAATCTTGTGCATATATTGGTAAATAGACAAATTAGTAATAATTTAGTAAATAGAATTATAATTGTTTATATATATATGAATCAAACCTAACATTTGAGTTGAGGAACATGTCTTATACCAATTGAACTATTAATTTTATATAAATTGAAATTTAGATATTTAGTATGATAAATGTTTGAATTTTAATTATAAAATCAAATAATGATTTTATGGTTAGTGCACCTTGATTATAAAATTACAATTATTGATTGGTGGAATAAGTCATTTGCACCATTTGACTGATGTTTTAACCGTGGCAGATGGTTCTTACCATCGTTGAGATGGGTCAAACCCTCCTCTCCTAAACAACATAGGAAAAACCAAAAATGCTGTTTATAATATGGGCTTCGGCCTTGTTCTTTACCCAAAAAGAGCTTTACAATAATTTCTATTTATTTTTTTTATAAACTTAATATATGATCCTTTGTGAGAGAAGATAAACACAAACTAAATACTATGTATGAAAGTCATGTGCTGAAAATCCAAATCCAATGTTTAAGCCCACTTGCCACATGAGACTAGCACTTTCTCAAAGAGACGATCTGATTCTTTATTCTTATGCCACCGGTCAAGGCGGAGCCAGATTTTTTTTTTTTCAGGGAGGACGAGATAATTTTTTATATATTAATTTATAAAATTTTTAAATTTCAAGTAAAGTGAGATAATTTTTCATATACTACCCCCCGCGGCAGTGCCACCGGTGGTTAAGCTCCAACAATCCTGTTAAGTGGGTTGCTGACAATTGTTTAATATCCCTCATTATGGTAGTATTGTTTCCTATTTGCCTTATTCTTAATATTTGAAAAGTCAACTGGTGATTCATTTCATGTAATGTCCATCTTGTTAGGAAAATAATGGATAAGAAAGAAAGATAGGAGGATGTGGATTTGGTGGACCATTTTTTGTCACACTTCCACTAAGAAGGAAAAAGAGAAAATGAGTAATAAAATAGTAATTTTTCGATATTCATCAGTAAAAGAAGGAAAAAGAGTCATGTAGTATTACTTGTACTAAATTGTATTGAATTACACAATATTAAATATTAAATGAGAAAGAACTTTTAATATTTAGGGATCTTTTTCTCATTTAATGATTTATATTTTATAATTTGTTGTAGTGCAAACTATAAAATAAGATTCCCATAAAAGAATATGTGATTGGATATTTAAAGATCCAATTCTATAGAACTTGACTTCTTAGCAGCCAACTTCGTTCATATACTTGATGAATTTCTAGTTAGCTCTTAGAGCTCTTCTTCACAAACTGTTACTAATTTTTGGGTCATGCGTGGTTCAAAGATGGAATAACTATTACATGGCTATGGTAAGAGTTCTTGATTTTCATGAAGGCTTTTAGATATGACTCATAGTTGATTATCTTGATTTCATAAATGATTTTCAATACAGTATGGTTGATTATCTTTGATGATATCCAGCAGATGAGCACATGCTTGGACGTACTCTTACAAATTTTCATTATTTTTACAGTTCTACTTGAATCCAAGTGTCATAAAATCATTTTCCAATTGTTTTTCAATTTTCTTGCATTTATATTTGCCTTTGGACATTCATAAATGGTCACAGGTATCTATTGTTGATGGTGAGACAAGGTCCATATAGAGAAGCATGGTAGAAGGTCCCTAGAAGTTTCTATCTGGAGTTTGTTGCCCCACTGCCACGGAAGGAGCAAGGATTACCCAGTATGTTTTACTGCATAAACAATCTATGGTTAGTTTTCAAGGGGACTTTTGCCTCAAAGAGGGAAAAAAGAGATAATCTTTATTAGCTACTAATCCTATCTTTTCTCCTGATAATTAGGTCAGATGTTGTTATCTTGTGTTGCTTCTTCTGTTACTTACCCTACCAAAACTCTAAAACTAATTTATCTTAAATAATTATATTATTTGCAATATGATAATATGAGTTGTACTTCTGGAATACAAACCGTTTTCCCCTCCCCTTATTTATTTATTTTTTTTGAACGTAAAATGCATTCAGCCTAAAATACCCTCAAGTTAAGCCCTTAACCAAAGGAAGTGTGTAGGAATCACGGGTTTTAAATTAAATTTGAAATGGTTCTTTTTTTAATGAACAGTATGAGGATGCTCTGCCATTGGCTCTTCAGCCAATCCCCCCCTTCTCTCTCTTTTCTACTGCTATATAAATTCCTTGTTTCATGCTCTCTAGAACTCGAAAACTCTTTTTTTTTTTTTTCCACTACTAACGTATACCAAGAAGCATATAGATATCCTGTATCATGGAAGGAGGAGATATTGGGTGTAAAGAAGATGATGAAGATAGGGAATTGATTGTACAGTCCAAGCATGATAGACCAAGTGGTACTCTTACTGATAATGGAGCCCAAAACCCAAAAAAAAAGGATGAAGAGGATGATAATGATTCAGTTCTCCTAAAAGATACAGCCTTTCAGGTATCATTTTTAGTGTTTTTCATTTTTGGGTTTGTTTCTTTATATATGTACTTAGAGAAAATATTGTTCTTAATAATGGGCTTTTGGTGGGCATGGCTCTGCTTTTTCTGCATGCTAAGCTTGGCAAAGAGTTTGATGCAAAGAAAATGAGAAAAAGAACTATGATTGTTGTTTAGAAAGAATTGTTCTTGACATTTGTTTTCTGGTAGACTGCATTCCAAATCTGGCTACTTCTTTGATATGAGGTTTTTTAAGTGGTTCTACTTCTTACAGGCAAAAGGAGAAAAAATAACCATTTTTGGAGAACAAGATGTTATGCATTTTCAATTGAATGCAGAGAGAATTCACTGTTTTTTTTTTTTTTTTGCATGGCAGAATTTTTATGAGTCCTTTTTGAAAGATAGCACCACTCCTCCTTCTGGCTTGAAACTTGCAATAACATCCCAATTGCTAGATAGGGTAAACACAGCACTGTCTGTAGAACATGACAATAACCACTCAGCTCCTGCAAATGTAAATTGCGCATCAACATCTAGCAGCTATTCTGCACCTCAGCTCCCTCCAGAAAAGTTGAAGGCTACAAACTTTCAGGCCAAGGCACTTCTGATAGGATCATGGAGGGTAAGAAAAACTTGTAAAACTTAAGTTGCACCAAGTAATTTGAACTAGATTCATCATGGAGAAAAAAAATTAAGGACATTTTTTATATATTTATGGTTGAATTCTGTGAAGAGAGTAGCTGAAGTACCAAATGGCTTGGTGGTAAAGATATATTTTGCAAAAAGAAAGCTGATATGGGAAATTATGGAAGATGGATTGAAGAACAAGATTGAAATCGAATGGGCTGATATCTTGGCCTTGCGTGCATACTCAGAGGATGATGGGACTGAGGTTCTGCAAGTTGAGGTTAGACACTTCTTCCATATATACTTTTCTCTTTTATTAGAATTAAGATTTTCCCAACATCCCTGATTAATTGATAATATGTAGTTAAAGTATTTACTCTGAACAAAATCATGAGCCAACCTCCTCAGAATTTTCCAAAAGAGAATATATATTTTTTAAAATTTATTTGCAGTTATGCCAACCGCCTCAGTTCTTTCGTGAACAAAAAACAAACCCAAGATCACACACTCAATGGAGAGCTACAGGGGATTTTACCAATGGACAGGCCCTATTCTGCAGGTTTTTCTATCTCTCTTGCTTTAGAATACATTTTATATGTGTGTCTGTGTGTCTGTGTGTCTGTGTGTGTGTTTCAGTAAGGTTTTGCCTATGTTCATAATCTAGCTACGTATTGGCCTGTCCTTGTTGATACGCATATTATTTGAGTTTTATTGTATCTAAAGATTGTACGTCAAACATGTTTATTGGTCCTTAGGAGGCACAAAGTAATATGTGCTCCAGGGGTTCTCTTCAAAGAAGTTGCAAGGCTTCTCCAATATGACAGCCACCTAAACAAGCTGAAGGATCGTAATTTTCCAAGCTTAGACTCCCTTTATTTTGATTCAAGGCCACCAGTCATCCACTCCAATAATCAATTTCAACCCATTTTCAAGGCTGAGGTTCTGAATTCTCCCTTAGATCAGGCACAAAGGTCGTCAATCATTTATGGCAAGCTTAGCATGCAGCAAACTACAACCCTCCAGTCACAAGTACCAGGTTTTGCTATTCTACCCAAAATCCTTCTATTTTCTTTTCTCAAGTTAAAAAAATCTGCATTAGTTCTTTGCTTTCCTGCCTTTCTAATGTACATTGATATTACATAGATGGCTGCATGAACATCCAAGCAGGTGAAAATTCAGGGCTTGTGTATCTTGGTGGAGGGATGAGCAATTTTCCAGATAGTTCTCAATTGGGCAACAGTTTCGGAGATGTTCAATTCAGGAACATATATGCAGATGCTGTTCAAGAGATGAACAATTTTGGAAACAATAACCAAGTGATGAATCCAGCTACTTCTTTTGAGAGCTATAATTTGGCAGCCTATTATTCTCCTCAAGGTGCTGAAGAGCCTAGCTTTTCAGGCTATGATTATGAACCACTTGACCTTCTGTTGGCTAGATATAGAAAGGATTTTGGCTAGGAACAAGGATGAAATTCCCTTCTTCTTTTTTTTTTTCTTTTTGGTTTCATAAAAATATGGTACTTAGCTTCTGTTTTTGGATCAAATTGGATTCTAGTTTCAAGTTGTTTTTTCCCAGGAAATTGATAGTTGTTTCAACTTTCCATTTTAACTGTGATGATTCATTGATCGTCTCTATTGCACAAGTCAAGCTCAAACCCATGTTTGCTTTTCTTTTTGTTCCTTTTTCATTTCAACTCTTTAGATTTTCTTGTTCCTAATTAAACTCCTTTGGAAAATTGATTTGAATGAAATAAGTTATAGACATTGGAGGAACTCGAATCATCAAAATTCGACCATTCTTCAGTTAATTTTGTTCACGGAGTAATGAACTTTCTGTTTGGCACAGATCGTGTCCAATTATTAGCTTTTCTTTAACCAAATTAAGCATGTTTTAATTGTAGATAAGATAAATTAATTAATGAAAGAGAATTTGTTTATTATATAATTTAAGATTTAAAAAAAAAATTAAAATCAGTTTTTGAGACCAAAATTTATAACAAATTCATTATAATTATTAATTATAATGTGAATCTCATATGAATGTACATAATCAATGATTAAAAAAATTTTCATTATAAATTTTTCTCCTAAAAATCATTACTCAAGAAAAATATTTCTATTGCAAAGACCTAGAAACGGTATAATTTCCCTTTCAACACAGGTATCCTAACTTCGGATCAGATTAAATAATAAATCCACTACAAACCTCCACCCCGCAACAGTGGCCTGCGTAGCCACTAGACTTTCTTATTTTAATTGTAGCAAATTTCAAAATTGTTAGACTTAAAAATTAATTGAAGCTCAGAGTTTGTTTAATTTTATAAATAAAAAAAAAGATAATTTCATTCATCTTATAATAGATTTTTTTTTATTTATTATCATAGTATCTCTAGATCAATTTTTATACATCTCAAAGTTAATTCTTTCTTAAGCAATCTTAAAATCGCACTCTCATATTAATTTGATGTATTTCAAAATTTTAATTTTTTTAGAATTAATTCTAAAACTTGAACTCTATACTTAATTTATAAGATGATATTTACTTACAAGTAAATTCAACTATTAAGAAAATCTATCTTATCTTATAATAGATAAATTTAAGTTATTACACCACTTTAAAAAAAGAAAAGCATGAATGAAACCATTCAATAGACCATACCCATTACTTTTAAAAGTGAAACTTTACCCACATACAAAGCAGTTTACAAGCACTGAGATTTTAGATACTCATAGTAGTATTAAAAAAAATTAAAAAGAAGAAGAAGAAGAAAAAAGGAAAAGAGTGAAGTTGAGATTGGGGCTCACCCCTATAGCAGGTCACACACAAGGATTTGCGCCCTCCGTCCAAGCCCCCCATGCAGAGAAATAATTTCACTCTCTCACTCGCTGCTCTGGAAAGCCAGCAAGCCATCTCACAAGCACGCAGGGCTTTGAGAGGATGGTAGGCTATGAACACGCAAATCCCTCTCTCTTTTTCTTTGGGACTCACGCCCATTTCTCTTGTGGACGCAGAGCCTTACATAGTGGGCTAATACCCACCCACTTTTACCTGTACATAGCACGAGGATCTTAGATCCAATCTCTTCAGCACTCTTAATGCCCCCCTCTTGGGTGACAGGCCTGCGTGACAAGGCCCGGCGTGGAAGTCATCAAGGAGAGCTCGACTTAAACTACCTC